GAATAAAGATAAAGAGAATAAAAAGTTCACAAGTGAGCTATAGAGCCATCAAGTCAGCACTATATACAACCTTTGGAAAGAATGATATACGGAGTATAAGAAATCATTTTTTACGAGGACAATCATCTTGAAAAAGCTCGACGGACAACACAGAACAACATTTAAATTGGGAAAGGGGAGGTGATATGTGCATGTGTGCAAACCTAGAAGGTCAATACCATGATGAAAGCACGTCAGCGCCGGTTGATGTGTGTGGCGCGGGACGCCAGGAAGCTCATGCTTTGGACTGGCGGCGTTTAGCCACTGCCCAGCATCTTTGTGGCGCGCTGGTTGGCCTCATCAATTCTAGTCTTGTTGGACTCAGCCTGGGAAAGAAGAAAAATGTGCAAGACACAAATATGATAGTGTTAGTGTTTTTTCTTTTAACTTTAACTCTGAATTTAAATCGTCATGTTCTTTACATTCACCCTGACTCGTCTTTATTACAAGAATATAAGGGTGGCTGGGCTCTTCCTTAGAGATAGGGTGAGAAGTTCGGTCATCTGGGAGGGACTCAGAGTAGAGCCGCTGCTCCTCCACGTCGAGAGGAGCCAGTTGAGGTGGCTCGGACATCTGGTTAGGATGCCTCCTGGACGCCTCCCTGGTAAGGTGTTCCGGGCACGTCCCTCTGGGAGGAGACCCAGAGGAAGGTCCAGGACACGCTGGAGAGACTATGTTTCTCAGCTGGCCTGGGAACGCCTTGGGATTCCCCCAGACGAGCTGGCCCAAGTGGCTGGGGAAAGGGAAGTCTGGGTCTCTCTGCTTAGGCTGCTGCCCCCCGCGACCTGACCCCAGAAAAGCAGCAGAAAATGGACGGACGGACAAACAAGGATATAAAATCCAGATATTTTTATGATAAATGAATTGAACTTATATAGCAACTCATCAAATCCACTTGGACCCCAAAGCTCCTTACACTTCAGGCATTCACCCATTCACATACTGATGATGGTAAGCTACATTGTAGCCACAGCTGCCCTGGGGCACACTGACAGAGGTGCCACCGGACCCTCTGACCAGTATCAAGAGGGTGAAGTGTCTAGCCCAAGGACACAAAGACTGAGATGGCTGGAACGAGGGATCGAACCAGGGAGCTGCCAGTTCTAGGACAACTCCCCTCTCCACCACAGCCACGTTACGTTTTATGTTCTAAAAGTCAACATGATCCGTAGTGAGAGTAAGGAGCAGGTGGAAGAGAGCTTGAAGAAGTTGAGGTTTATGTTAGAGGTGATTTGTGACAGACGGACAGCTGCAGGAGATTATTGGAAGGTTTGCAAGATGAGACCTTTTGTGATTTTCAAGTTGGGGATGCTGAGAGACTTGTAACAAAGAGACAAGAAAAGATGAAGATGAAAGCAATGAAGGTGTTAAGAATTTCACTGGAAGTGACTGAGATGAACAACTTTAGTACATCAGAGGAACAGCGAACTAAGCTTCATTTGTGAATGTTGCTAAGTATCGTGTTTTCCCACAGTATTTTTGTTATTTTATCCGTTATTTATTTTTGATGTGGTCATGACTGAAAGACTGGAGTTAGGCTAAGCCTTGTACTTTTGTTCTTTCAGCACAAAAAGTTCCCCCAATTTTTAAAATAATTTTATTTGTAATGCACTAAAAAAATACAATTTGTCCCAATTGTTGATTGAAGAACTTTTTGTAACTATTAAACTGGTTCGTCAGACTCTGCATTCTTTGATCTTTTCTGCTTATATAACTTTTTTATCTTATTAATTGACCTGAAATGCCCTTATACCAACTTTTTAAATGTGATACACAACAAAGTATGCACAAATGAAGGAACTGATAACATGAAATGTTTTAATTTAATCTCTCAAAACTCAAATAGAGTCAAAATATGTGTAACAGTGACTGCTTTTTTTGTCCTTATAAAGAATACCTAAATACCTAGTATAAATGTACTCATAAAACAATGGATAAACGTAGAAAAAATGTGTACCTTCTCCATGATCCTGTCAATCTGGCGGTTCTGGGTGTCGATCTCGTTGCCCATGTCCAGGGCCATGTGCCGCAGGTTACCGATGATGCCTCCCACCTGCTCCAGGTTCTCGTCCATCTCATTTTCCCGGGCATCATCTGTTACCCTGAACACAAGGTTAGATTTAAATACTGTGAAGTCTGTGTAAAGGTCAGGTCAAAACCACCATTTATTGCTACTGCCATCTGCAACAGATTTCACCTTTGATGCTCTGAGGAGCAGAATCTAACCTCACACTGACCAGGGGCCTTTGTATCAAAGAGCGTGCAGCTGGCATACTGAAAGTTGGAATATGGACCAAATTGGAAAAATATGCACGCACATAAATATTTTAGATTTATCAAACCATGTGAACACTTATTTCTGCACAACTTTAGTTTATACATTCCAATAAATGCGGAGCTGAGCTCATGAGTTTCAGAACAACTGCATAGTTTGATGGTCGCATTCTGGGTTTGGTGGGTGGCATATATCATTGTGACCTGATGTTGGAACCACTGTGTACTGAAGAGCACAAATACAGTATGTCTGTAAAGTTTTAGCCACCCAAAACAAATTACTTCAAGAGACAATTGCTGTCTGCTAAGCACAACAGAATGTCATGACAACTGCACCTGACATTCAGACATAAGAATAGGCTTTAAACAACCCTGTGTCTTTTTGCACTGTTTCTCAACAGTTGCTATCAACCGGGCCAAATACAGCGGGTAAAATAAGTATTGAACACGTCAACATTTTTCTCAGTAAATATATTACTAGAGGTGCTAATGACATGAAATTTTCACCAGATGTCGGTAACAACCCAAGTGATCCATACATACAAAGAAATCAAACCATAAATGTCCAGAAATGAAGTTATTTGTAATAATGTGGAATGGCACAGGGAAAAAGTATTGAACACATGAAGAAAGGGAGGTGTAAAAAGGCATGGAAAGCCAAGACACCAGCTGAACTCTCTCAGTAATTAGAAAGCAAGCCTGCCCCTTGTCAGTGCAAGTTAATATCAGCTGGTTCAGTCCCAAATGATGGCCAGGTATCACACAAGAACCATCTGATGATGGGTAAAAGTAAAGAGCTCTCTCAAGACCTTCACAACCTTATTGTTGCAAAGCATAATGATGGCATCGGTTACAGAAGAATGTCTAAACTTCTGAAGGTTCCAGTGAGCACTGTTGGGGCCATAATTCAGAAGTGGAAAGAACATTATTTCACCATAAACCGACCACGACCAGGTGCTCCTCGCAAGGTTTCTGACAGAGGAGTGAAAAGAATTATCAGAAGAGTTGTCCAAGAGCCAAGGACCACTTGTGGAGAGCTTCAGAAAGACCTGGAATTAGCAGGTACGTTTGTTTCAAAGAAAACAATAAGTAATGCACTGAACCACCATGGCCTGTATGCACGCTCACCACGCAAGACTCCACTGCTGAAGAAACAGCATGTTGAAGCTCCTTTAAAGTTTGCTGCACAACATTTAAACAAGCCTGTGTAATACTGGGAGAATATAGTCTGGTCAGATGAGACCAACATTGAACTGTTTGGATGCCAGAATACACATCATGTTTGGAGGTCAAATGACACAGCACATCAGCCCAAAAACACCATACCAACAGTRAAGTTTGGAGGTGGGAACATCATGGTGTGGGGCTGTTTTTCAGCAGGTACTGGCAAACTTCAAATAATTGAAGGAAGGATGAGTGGAAAAATGTACAGAGACATTCTTGATAAAAATCTGCTTCCATCTACCAGGATGATGAAGATGAAACGTGGCTGGACATTTCAGCAAGACAATGAGCCCAAACACAAAGYCAAGGAAACTCTCAGTTGGTTTCAGAGAAAGAAACTAAAGCTGCTGGAATGGCCCAGCCAATCACCTGACCTGAATCCAACAGAAAATCTATGGAAAGAACTAAAGATCAGAGTTCATAGAAGAGGTCCACGAAACCCTCAAGATTTGAAGACTGTTTGTGTGGAAGAATGGGCCAAAATCACACCTGAGCAATGCATGCCACTAGTTTCTCCATACAGGAGGCGTCTTGAAGCTGTCATTGACAACAAAGGCTTTTGTACAAAGTATTAGATAAATTTCAGTAAGTGTGTTCAATACTTTTTCCCTGTGCCATTCCACATTATTACAAATAACTTMATTTCTGGACATTTATGGTTTGATTTCTTTGTATGTATGGATCACTTGGGTTGTTACCAACATCTGGTGAAAATTTCATGTCATTAGCACCTCTAGTAATATATTTACTGAGAAAAATGGTGACGTGTTCAATACTTATTTTACCCGCTGTATTTAATGTTCCATGCATACACTGCATTATTACAATGAGACTGCTGCAGGTCAATACCATGAATGACCACTGAGTTAATGTATGGTGGCACCAAGGAGAAAAGACCAATCATGCTCATGCTATGCAAAGACACATTGGCATTACATCTTGGTGTGGGAGCCATATGGTTTAACTTACAGTTACCTCTGGTAGTGACTTGAGCATCCTGGTGACACATATACATTAACACAGTACACAATATATCAGCACAATATGACTCCATGTAAAAGACATCCTACATCCATGTGTTACCACTCCTGAGACAACATTTAAAACTAGCTTTTTAACAAGACAATGCTAGTCCACACATGACATGAATGTGCTTGGACTGGCTACTTCATACTGATGTACTTCCTTGGCTAGCCAGGTCTCCTGAGGCCTATTGCACGAATCTAGGATAAGGGATTAAGCCAGGATTTTGGTGTACACCTGAATTAGTTAAGCCTTGAATCGGTTGCATGAAAGAGGAAGCACTTGCGTTTCCATGGTAACAAGTGCTCCGAAACTAACCTGGTCCCGACCAGGTTTAAAGTGGAGCTTATTTAATCTGTTAGTGTTTCTGAGCAGTAGACAGTCACTCTACTGCAGAAAAATGCTCCTCTAACCACGTTTTACAGTCTTATATCAGCTAAAAAGTATTTTCGATCTTGTTTTTAGACCAATATACTAAACAAGATCAGAATATGATCTTGGCACTTAAGAAGAACGTTTGCAATGGATAAATGACTCAGTGTTGTGTCTAGTATTATTGTCAAGTAGCTGTTTCAACTGTGTTGTTTGACTCCAGAAATAATATTCCAAAGTTTCATTCACAAAGTAGGAAAGTTTCCCCGATGAGAAGCGAAACATTTTCAACTACAGAACTGAAGTCCAGTGGTTTTATTTTTTTTGTTTTCTTAGATTAACAAAGACAATATAACTTGACAGTCATGAGATGATGATATTTCTCAGATGAGATGGATAAACACAAATATGAGCATTTTAAGTATTTATTGCTCCAAAGTGTCACATCTGTACACAGACCATGATCTTTCATGGTTATTTCAAAGGGCCAATTTTATGTGTTTCTCAGGCATATATTTAAATACTATACCATAATAAAGTATCTATGTCACCTTTAGTTGTTATTAAAATGCTGTTTTCATGTTTAAATAGAAAATAAATGTATCTCCTCATCACTTCCTCTTCTAAATACCTTGAAATTGGCCTCTATCTCCTTAAGAACCTCCTTCCAATTCTGCCCCGTCAGTTTCGGTCGGGGGGTGGGGTGGGGGGTCGCGAGAAGTAGTGGATCTCAGCAGACAGAACAAGTTTCACTTTCACTTTTGCTTTGTTACTGCAGAGAGCCTGCAGGAGTCATGGGCGGGGTGTGTGGGGTGGGGAGGTGTGCTCCGTGATGAGGAAGTTCGGCTTAAAGACACCTCCCAGGGGCGTTTCTGGTCCCCACCTGTCGTTTTCCTCCTCTGCATGGCTGCCTAAAAATGCTGCAGGATTTCTCAAACATGCATGAATGAGTCAAAGCAAGGCTTTGGGTATGATTTTTTTATGAGAGTTTATCATTATAACATGATATAAAACTCAAAAAAGTTGATTTTACATGTTATTGCCCCTTTAAAGGCACAGTGTGTAGGATTTTGTCAATTCTTTTAGCCGAAATTGAGATAATCACTAACGACAATAAAAAAACATGTCTAATCATTGCAGACAAAGACCTTGTTTTATTATTTTTACCTTATAAAAAGCTGTTTATATC